GAAGTCAGTTTCACTGAGTCAAAATCAAGATGGGGGGTGGGGGCTCATTGCCCCCTGAGGCTCCAGGTGAGACTTTGTTCCTTGTCTCTCCTACTTTCTGATGGCTGCCCACCCTCCCTGACTCCTTTGGGGATAAAGACAGTAGAGCTGAAGCACACTTTCAAAGCACCCAAAACTAAAATCTTTTATATTCATATCCCTTTGTATTGCCCCTTTATGAATTATAATTAAACTATTAAAAAAACAACCAGTCTTGCTGAACTGTTCTGATGAATAATAGGGCTATCTATGATAAGCAGGTAATTTGGGGATTATTGGAAGAAGTAAGTCCCCAGAACTCAGTAGCATTTTGATTATGAGATTATATGCTTCCTTTTAAGAACTGACTTCTCACGAGGGTGCTTCTGAATAAAAAAAGTATTGCCAGCCAGGGGATCTTTATTAAATCTTTATTACCGCATGCAACCACACAGATTACAAGAGATGTTGGGTAGAAAGTTATTTTTTATGCAAAAGCATATTTCCAACTTAAATATATCCAAGATTCCTTTGTCCTTGTTTTTACCTCTAGGCAATCAAGAAATTTAGACCCCATAGTTCACTGACAAGAGCATTCTTGTCCTGTTTGGATATTTTAAAGCACTTCACCTATATAATCTGAAAGAGATCACAAGGAACATACAGGATTCAGACACTGGCCTAAGAAATGTATGTAGTGTGGTGATTATCCACAGAAATAAAAACAAATGAAATAAATTAAAGAAAATAAGAGGGCAGATATTCCTGTACAATGGGGCATAAGATCTGCCCAATTACTGACCCTTCACCTTATCTCAAACATACATTTTTATAACCCATTCCTTAAAAAATCACAGATAGCTCCACTTCCTCTTACTATCTCTACTTCAAAATCTAAATAACCATCCTTTTAAAATAATCCATAACTTGGTTCTCAACAATCAAATTTTCATTTAGCAGGTCATAATTCCACCTGAATAGCTTTCAAGCAGAAACACATTTACCCTTGCCTACGACCACACTTTTAGCCTCTTCTGTCCCTTCAATATTAAGGTATTCTACAGCAGGACTATAAGGTATTATTCACTTATTTAACCTCAATCTGTACTGGCTCCAAATTGTGCCCCAAGCTACCAGCCCATGTTCTTTGCAATCCACTGAGCAACAAAGAACAATGTTGACTGAGAACCACCTCATCGGAACCACCCAAGAAGCTTGCTGAAATGCAGATTCCAGGACCCACACCTCAGACCACTAAATATAATTTTTGGGAAAATCACTGAGGGATTTGCACTTTTCCTAAACATTTCAAGTTGTATGTTATCATATTAGAAAATTGGAATATGACTAGAAAGCCCTAACACTTAGAAAGACCCACTTTATGCATTCTCTTCTGCCCAAAAGTTGAGGGCACTGTTTTGAAGGAATAAAGTAGTTTCGGTTGGCACCACACAGCTAAGCATCATCCACAGACCCCTATAACTCACACATATCTGTAGTAGACCCTTAAACACGGACTCCATTTGTTTTCTTAAATCCTATCCCATTTCATTCTTCCTTTTTCAATTACCATAGCTCCCTTGTTTCAGGGAGAAACACCCTTGCAAGTCCTAGAGACTTCTTCTTAATATCCTTCTTCCTGCCCAGAAACCCCTTCCAGAAAGGCCAAGAGAGTGGTTCAGCAAAGAAAAATCAAATTTCTAAAGGATATATTATTTGGAAACTTTTTTTTTCCTTTTTGACAAATGGAACAAGGAAAAGTAGCAATTAACCTGCTGTGAAAATATTTCGGACCACAAAACATACCAGCAGGACCTGATTTCCCCTTGGTTAGCACAGTAGAGAAGATGAGAAGGGGATTTTTCTTAGGGGATGACAACTTGAGTTCAGTGTTGTGGGACCCTCTATCTGTAGAAATTTCAAGTCGATGTAACATGAGGACAATTGCATCTTGTTCGTTTTACTGAGAAAAATAGAGGGTTTTTTTCTTTTTCTCCTCCCACCCCCAAAGGAGTTGAGTTTGTTCACCGCAGACAGCAACTCTACACAAACTGTCATTGACAGGAGGGTTGCTCTCCAGGCCCTTCATTCAGTGCCTTCTGAGCAAGACGCTGAGAAAGAAAACCCAGTTATAACTGGGACAGAGAAGCATTTTTCCTTAACACTGTAAGACTCCTGCGTTCAAGCTGTCTTAGTAAAGTGCTTCATGGCAGAACGTTGTCGGCCAACTTACATGGCATTTGGATTTGAAGTTATATGCCATTTGGGGAAGATTACTATAATTAGAAAAATGGCCTAATTACTTTTCTGGCAGCGGCGAAGAGAGAGAACAGACTTTTCAGCTTATAGAGACAAGTCCTTGAGAAACCTCAAAAGGTTTTGGGATCCTGTTTGACAGGAAAGAACATCTCATCTGAACCTCTTGGATCTATTGAAAACCCGAGCTGGAAAGCCAAAACCACAAAAGAGGGAGAAGGAACAAGAAAAGAAGAAAACAGAAATAAAGAAAAATATGCCTTCCTATTTTTGAGTTTTGAAACAGAGATGACAGCGACGGTGCTGTCACACTGCAGGGCTGCATCTGCCCGTCCCTGTAGGAAGCACATATAGAAAACAGCAGAGTTGGGGGAAAACGTGGGCTTGGAGCCTGTTGATGGCTTTGTCTGTTTCAACTGTAAATAATACGACAACATTGCAACCGCAGAGACCGGGGAGAGCAGCTCCTGTTATTTTAGGTCTCAAGTTTACATTTATAATATAAAATCATACTAAGTCCCTCTTTTCCTGTGTTGAGGAGGGAGACACCGCTGCACTGAATCAAACACCCATTCTCCAGGCCTGGGTCTCACAGGACACTGCCTTTACCCAGAAGGAAAGGGGGAACAGCGAGCACTCTGTTCGAGAAAAATGACCCAGGACTTTCCCTAGTTAGCTTCTATTTCCTGAATTTAGCAATTGGAACACCTGCAGTAGATCAAATATGTCTTCACAAAAATGCAATTTTAAACTGTCATGAATTTTATATATATTATTTTAGATGGACGTAATTTTATTTATTTATTTTTTTATGCGGTGCTAAGGATTGAACCCAGTGCCTCACATGTGCTAGGCAGGCACTCTACCAGTAAGCCACAACCTCAGCCCTCTGTCATGAATTTTTAAAGGATATGAGGGTAAAGCCATGATAGGGAAGCACCTTCAGATGGCATGGAGCAGGGAGAGGGGTGGGAGATGGCAGGGGACAAGTAAGAAAAATCAGTGACCACTGCTTTCAAGTCATGAGCTAATGAAAGTATTCCCTTGGTAAATGTGACTCTTGTTATGTTTCCTGTCACTAGTGATTGCTAACATATGCCTTCCCCTTCCTAGGTACTTTATCTAGCACAGAAAGGACAAGTCTACATGCTAAGAATTAAATAGCAGCAGCGTCCTTCACCAGCCCGAGTCACCGTACAAAGGCCCCTTAGATGGACAATTCCCAGGGTTTGCTTCCCATATAATAGCCCTAAATGGACAATGCAAACACCAATGTACATATATACATTTGTAAATAAATATTAATCAATATATACTCCCCCCAAATAGTGACATTTATATCATTTTCCAGTTTCAACCTACCCTTCAAAAATTATTTATCAAATTATCTCCTGCTTTATATCAACCAATTCACATGATAGTTTTAAAGCATGGCTATTGTTCCAACCAGATTCTCATTAACTTTATTTTTTCCAGAGAAAAGGATTTGGCATATTACATAAAAAAAAATATTAACTAAGTAAAGCCACTGCTCTTCCTTTGGTAATCATGAATTCCTCTGAAAGAAAGGGAAAATCTTCTATAATTATAATGTTCTAGGTTTATCTTTCAAGTGTCTTATAAATGGTATCTGACTGAAATACAATATTTTTATGCAATTGTGAGATATAAAAGCATTGGTTAAGATTTATTTTTTTAATTTGCTCTAATTAGTTATACATGACAGTAGAATGCATTTTGACACATGTATACAAATGGAGCCCAAATTCTTCCTCTGGCTGAACATGGTACAGAGTCACACCATGTATAATTATACATGTATATAGGGTAATAATATCCATCTCATTCCACCATCCTTCCCATCCCCATATACCCCACATCCCCATACTCTCTTCACTCCCCTCTGAAAAATCCAAAATTCCTTTATTCTTCTCTATCCCTCCCCCAGTGTGGATCAGCATCTGCTTATTAGAGAAAACATTTGGCCTTTGGTTTTTTGGAATTGGCTTATTTTGCTTAGCATGATATTCTCCAGTTCCATCTATTTAATGGCAAGTACCATAATTTCATTCTTCTTTATGGCTGAGTAATATTCCATTGTGTATATATACCATCTTTTCTTTATCCATTTACCTGTTGAAGGGCACCTAGGTAGATTCCATAGTTTAGCTATTGTGAACTGAGCTGCTAGATACATTGATGTAGCTGCGTCACTATAGTATGCTGATTTTAAGTTCTTTGGGTATAAACCAAGGAGCAGGATAACAGGGTCAAATAGTGGTGCCAGAACAAGTTTTCTGAGGAATCCCCATACTGCTTTCCATAGTGGTTGCACCAATTTGCAATCCCACCAGCAACGAGTTTACCTTTTTCTCCACATCTTCTCCAACACTTATTGTTGCTTATATTCTTGATAACTGCCATTTTTGCTGGAGTGAAAGGCCATCTTAGAGAAGTTTTGATTTGCATTTCTCTAATTGCTAGAGATGATGAACATTTTTCATATGTTTGTTGATGGATCATATTTCTTCTTCTGTGAAGTGTCTGTTCAGTTCCTTAATCCATTTATTGATTGGGTTATTTGGTTTTTTGGTGTTAAGTTTTTTGAGTTCTTTATATATCCTAGAGATTAGAGCTCTATCTGAAGTCTCTGTGGTAAATATTTTCTCCCATTCTCCCAAGCACATTCTGTAGGCTCTCTCTTCACGTTATTGATTATTTCCTTTAAAAATATGGAACACTTCATGAATCTACACATCATCCTTGTACAGGGGCCATGCTAATCTTCCCTGTATGGTTCCAATTTTAGAATATGTGCTGCCGAAGCAAGCACAAGATTTATTTTCTTTTATTTTTTTATTTTATTGGTTGTTCAAAACATTACAAAGCTCTTGATATATCATATTTCATACATTTGATTCAAGTAGGTTATGAACTCCCATTTTTACCCCGTATACAGATTGCAGAATCACATCAGTTACACATCCACGTTTTTACATATTGCCATACTAGTGACTATTGTATTCTGCTATTTTTCCTATCCTCTACTATCCCCCCTCCCCTCCCCTCCCATCTTCTCTCTCTACTCCATCTACCGTAATTCATTTCTCTCCCTTTCCCCTCACTTCCTCTTATATGTAATTTTGTATAACAATGAGGGTCTCCTTCCATTTCCATGCAATTTCCCTTCTCTCTCCCTTTCCCTCCCACCTCTCGTCCCTGTTTAATGTTAATCTTTTTCTCATGCTCTTCCTCCCTGCTCTGTTTTTAGTTGCTCTCCTTATAACAAGATTTATTTTCAATGGCAAGAATATAGACTTTGGTCTGGGATTATGGCTCAGTGGTAGAGCGCTTGCCTAGCACATGTGAAGCACTGGGTTTGATCCTTAGCACCACATAAGAATAAATAAAATAAAGGTATTGTGTCCATCTACAACTAAAAAAAAATAAAAATAAAAGAATATAGACCTTTTTATTGAGCCACTATAAATAGGTTAACCAAAGATGAGTTATCATCCTGAGTCAATAATTTTGAAAACAAATTGTTATGGGCTGAATTGTGTCTCCTCAAAATTCATATGTTGAAGTCCTAACCTCTAGTCCTTCAGAATGTGACTGTATTTGGAGAGAAGGTCTTTCAAGAGGTGATTCAGTTAAAATGAGGCTGTTAGCATGGGCTCTAATCCAGTCTGACTGGTGTCCTTATAAGAGAAGAAAATTTGGACACACTGGACACAAAAGAGATAACAGGGGTGCTTATCTCAGTGAGGACACCGTGAGAAAGCAGCCGTCTGATAGCCAGGAATAAAGGCCTCAGGAGAAACCAAGCCTGCCATCACCATAATCTCAGCCTTCCAGCCTTCTGAACTGTGAAAAAAATTCATTTCTGTTGTCACCTGGCCTGCAGCATTTTGTCATAGCAGCCACACTGACCGATGCATAAATCATCCAGTAAGGGTAGTGATCTGAAAGCAAGACCCTCACATGGAGTTAAAGTTGATCACAGTAAGAGCTGATGTAAAATAGACAGTGAGGAATGAGGTCAGGAACACAAGAGTCAGGTTTTTGAGTCAAAGACAGACAAAGGAAATAAACATCCTGACTTCCCAGCTATGAATATTTCCTCCCTTGGACAAGGATTCTGTTGAATGGAATGCCAGAGCCTATCAGCTTCATGGGGTGAAGGAAAGTAAAAAAGGCCATCAGGCCTGAAATTTACAAGATGTTGGCAGATGAGAGTATGATCTCTTGGTATTGCAGGAGATTGGGTCAAAGGTGAGATAAGTTCTATTTAAGGTAGGACTAGAGACCTCACAATGATTGCACCAGAGACAGAAGCTGACAGAACTCACCTGGGAAGGAGAGAGAGGAAACCAAGAAGGAAAGTAAGTAAATACAAACCCGAGTAGACTGGAAAATACATAAACTTGACTGAGTTTGCTTCAAAGTTCATAGACTTCTTCTGCATCCGGAAAGAGAGCCCTCAGAACTTAAGGTGACTATAGAAACCTAACATTACATTTTCTCACTCTTGAGTCTATAACTGTGAAGTCTCTCTCCTTGGATAACCCTGGGCCTTACATGCAGTGTTCACTCCACAAACACAAGTAATATGAGTGAATGTGCGAAGGATAAGTAAGAAACACCAATCTAGGATCTTTGCCAGTCACAGAGATGTTCAGACTAAAGAAAAAATGAACTCAAGTGAGTTGACTCTGTTTCTGATGTTATTCCTGCATTTTTTTTTTAAAAGCATCCAATGACAGGCAGCAGACAAGACACGTGTTTGAAAGTTCAATCTCAGGCCGACACAGTCACCTGATACAGTAAGTGCTCCTGGTGATCACATATGTATTTGGGAAATAAATTAAAGATATCTTTATGTTGACATAAGTTTATGCAGATGTCTTCAGCAGAATTAGGACCTGTAGAACTGGTCTATGCAGAGACTGTGTCCCACTTCCCTCCCCTTCTTGCTTCCTCCCTCCTACCATCATTCCTACCAGAATTGTAGGAATGTTCAAATCATTGGGACCATCCTCTTATGTAGTTGGATCTTTAGATTGCAATTATTCTTAGACTCTGATACTTTACTAGACTGAAAAAAACTCCCCCCGACCCTCCAGGAAGCTATTTTTGTATTAGTTGACATGATTTTTTCATTGTTCAAAGAATCAGACACTACTTGCCAAAGTATATAAGAAAGAAGAAAAGGTATTTTAACAAAGAAGAGAATAGGAAACATTCATTCGCTCCACACAGAGCCTCAGATGACTAATATTAAACACTAGCTGTGTTACTTAGAATGTATGTTTCTGTGACAGGTGAAGAATTACTCCAAATATCCCAACAGAGCAACTTCTCTGAGCAAGAAAGTAGTCCAGGGATAGAGAGGGAATAGAAAGATAGGCAAGACATGGCCTCTTTCCTTCAGGGCTCACAATCAAGAAAGATGACAAAGATACAATACTGTTAATACCAATCAGATGGTGACAGACGCCAGTCTAAGGCAGCCAAGTGTGCAGAGAGTTGAAGGAAGTAATAGATTGATTCCAAATGAGGATGAAGGAAAGGCTTTCCTGAGAAAATTGTATCCAAGTTTGTGAATCTTGCTTGATAGGACAAAACTCAATTTCCCCGAGAGACCTATTTTCACACTGGTGGTCTGAGATTCCTTGACCATGCTGGTTGAAAGAACAAACAAGGCTTGTTGTCGGAGAAAATGCCCATTTATTGAGGAACAGCTCTGCATATTTATAGAGCCAGGGTGGTTTGACAGTTATGACAGTTTAATGGTTGAAGGGCTTGATAGTTGGCATGAGGTGCTTTCTGATTGGTGGGTAAGGATCATGTGAGCCAGCAGGGATAGTCTGATTGGTGGGTAAGTATCATGTGAGCCAGCAGGGCTCACCATTGGATGGCTCTTCTGGGGGGGATGGGGAAGTTAGTCTTTGGAGCCAGGGTGACTCCCAACACTGGTCAGACCGGAAAGCCTTCAGTTACAAAGGAAAAAAGCAGGAGTGTCATATTAACTTATCTTGATGCCTAATTCTTCTGAAATTAAGAACTCAGAAAGGCTTATGCATCCAGGTTTATTACAAAGAAAGCCTCGGTGACTCATGAACAGTTTCCTTCCACTTATTTTTGAAAGTCAATTTTAACGGAAATATTACAAGATAAATATGAAGAGATGGCTTCAGGGCAGCATGCCTCAGAAGTCTGAAGCTGCCACTCTCAATCTGTCAGACATTGCCCACTGTCATTCCAAAGCCACCATTGACTTTTTATTTTATTTTATTTTTGGTACCAGTTATGTACTATACTGTCACGGTTCATTGATTGTCATATGACACCATGCTCGCGCATGCACGCATGCTGATGCAAGATTTGGATCTGAATGGAAAACAATGAACTTTAAATCATCCCAAGGATCCGTAACAGGTCTAACAAAGAATAGTCTTATTCTTCTTGCCTTAGGAATACACTTTAACTGTGAAATTACATAGGGATCCAGAGGATTCAGCTCCTGAAACTAAATACGCATATTTGGAATTGTTTGTGGAAGTCACCATGGCTACTCCTGGAGTTGCCTCGTCTTCCCAGAACCCTGTTTTCACACATGAAGGAGCACAACCACACCACCCACAGACTCCAAAATTTACACTGGCTCCCCGTTCACTTACATATCTTTCCTAAATCACCTTCCTTGTTATTTTGAATTTTCTTTCTTGGAATTCCTCCAGTTCCCCTGAGATGCCTTCACCTCCGTCAGCTCATTCCTCACGCTGTGCCCTCGATATCAACCATCAAGATGTGGAAAGGACTGGTTTCCTGTTCTACCAATAAGTCCCGGCAGTCAAGGCGGGTGCCATTTTCCTCAGACCAGTCCTTCCTGAATATCCCTGCCAAGATACTTTTCTCCCAAAGAGGTTCTTATGATGTCCCTGCTCCAAATCCATTTACAATATGTAGTCTGAATTCATCACTGATATTAACCCCCTCCAACTCTAGCATTTAAGCTTTTTCTACTACAATTGCTCCTGAGCCTTGGTTTCAGTGTGTCTATACTCTGTTCTTCACACAACCATTAATTTTCCCAGCTCTGTTCCTTTGTTCATGCTATTCTCCTAGCAATATCCTCCAAATTTTTTTTTTTTTTTGCTCTTTTTAAGTACAGTTAATTCTTGGTATTTGCAGCAGTTATTTTCTATATGTTACCTTGGACATCAAACTGGTGAATAATAAACCTTTGCTCTTAGGTAAATATAGGGTTAGATTCATTCTAGCCTCTACTCAGAACATTTTTGTTGAGTTGTCAATGATATCCTTGTTCTATGTGTGTTTCTTAATAAAGACATTTTAATTTATGTTGTTGGTTCATTAATGCTGAATTCATCAATCAGCCAAGTACTGTGGTGCACACCTGCAATCCCAGTGACTCAGGAGGCTGAGGCAGAAGGATTGCAAATTCAAAGGCAGCCTCAGCAACACAGTGAGGCCCTAAGCAACCGAGCAAGACTCTGTCTCAAAATAAAAAATAAAAAAGGGGTGGGGATGTGGCTCAGTGGCTAAACACCTCTGGGTTCAATCCTTGGTACCAAAAAAGAAAGTATCACCAATAAAATGTACAGAAGTGCTACAAGCGTGGCGATAAGCAGATTGCAAAGTGGATGCTTGTTTACAGTAGGATAGCAGTAGTGAGAAGGAAGAGCGTCATCTTGTTCCTCCTCAGCTGGGAACGTGTAGGTAGGGTGAGGGGAAAACTTTCACCATTCTGCATGTGCCCACAAATGACTGCAAGTGTGTCCCAAGTATTGATATTGGTGTGATGAG